CGCAACAGTGCCTCGACTCTGATTCGTTCAAGCAACTCACTACTGGACCACTGCCCTGGTCATCGTAAACCTTAACTTCCTCGTGGCACACCTCTCCCCTCTTGCTACTGCGTGCCCATCGGGCACGTACCGACAGGCCTCTGAACGGTCCTCTCCGGATTCCGCCCGGCCCTCTTATGGCTCGGTCTCCTCTACCCAGACGAGTTCACTCCAAGAGTTTAATCTGGACCGGATCGGAGGTCGTGCATCGGAGCAGTTGCATGTACTCCCTTCAATCTTTTTACATGTTATATTTACTACGTTTGTCCTAAGTTAAACATTTCTAACTCTGATCATTAACTTCAAAAAATTTCACATAGTTTCACAATATATTAACTACTCTCTCCGTCCCAAAAAGAAAATAATTCTAGCTTTAAATCTGGACAAGCGCTTGTGCATGTTCAAAGCTAGAACTGCACTCCATTGGGGACTAAAGGGAGTATGTACGTATTGTAAAAACATTTCCCATACTGAATCTTAAAAATATAAATCTTATATTGCTAACCTATACAAATATTTTAAACCTAATAGTCAAAGATAGAAATGTTTTCCTTTTTTACGGAGATGAACCAGGTTTTATAGAAAGGATATAGAGTTTTACAGCCATTTGAAAACAATGTTGGGTTACCAGCGCACAAGAAAGTGATTCCACAAACAAACACCTAATAACAATTTAAGCACGAAAAAACTACATCGGAAAGGAACCCTCTTCCAGATAAAGAGAAATTTGCCTTCAAATTAGGCCCTCCACGGCTCCACCTCCATATCTCTTGACTGGATCCAAAAAATTCTACAACCACGGCTTCATAAATTTTAGCATGTCATCCAAGTAGTTTAATTTGAGTCCGCCTTCTTCAAGAGGATTTTCCATTTCTGCAAGTAAGAAAAAGGTTTTATAGAAAACCTCCTCTGATGTTTTGGGAAACTCCTTCTCAATCCCTTTTTTATTACGTACATTCCACAAACCCCATAAGAAAGTGGTAAAATTGAAAGCTTTATGTTTTAATGTGTGCAATGCAAAGGAATTAAAGTCCCAAACACCTCCTAACACTTATCCCACCCTAGAGCTTCCTTGATGTAAGCCCAAATGACTTGCATGATTTTACACCGAAAAAATGTGGTCTATAGCTTCTAGCATGCCTAAGAGAATGTTGTTGTCATTCCCTTTCTGTTTCTTTTTGTTCAAATTGACACCTGATTGGACTTTGTTTTGTGTATCTAGACAGAGGAAAATCTAGCTTTTCTGTTCTTTTGGAGACCACCCCTTCTAAACATTATTATTCGATGCATTGATCTAGCAGTATATGCACCCCTGTTCTCCAAAATCCAATTAACTTGTCCTCCTCTTCATACAATCTGAGGTTTTCGAGCAAAGACATCAAATTCTCCCATTCCTACATATCCTCCACCATAAAAGCTCTTCCGAATTCCACCCTCCAGTTATCCTCCACCCAACAATTAATTACTTAATTACCAAGCACTCCTTATTATCGCCACGCATAGCATATAATCCATCGAATTCCAATTTCAATGGAATTTCACAAGCCCATACATCCTCCCAAAAAAAGTATTCCTACCATTATTTACTTTAACCTTGATCCTCATTTTAGATTGTGTTTTACTTTAATTAGCCCTTTCTAGAATTGCAAAACCAGTGTTACTCTGATATTGTGCGAGAGCTCTGTTGTGTGTAGATGTTTCCTGCTCAGCATGTTGCAACCACTACTACAGCCATGCTTTTTAGAGGTGGATGAAAACCATTTGTATAGGCGGCTATTCGAATTGCCTCTACTTATGCGTCTCTAGAAATTAGTGATTTCTGGAGGCGGGTATCCAACAACCTCTAGCAATCATTTTTTAGAGGCGAGCTGAATTCCAATCGTCTCTACAAATCATTTTCAAGAATTTGTAAATTTGGAAAAAAAAAAGCAAAAAATTTAACCGGGAGAAGCTTAGTAGCCACACCCAATGCAGGATTCCGAAATTTAAAAAGAAGGATTTTTTAGGCAAGCCGCCTCTAAAAAATACTCCCTGTGTCCCAAAATAAGTATCATTCTTGCTTTCTGAGAAGTCAAACAATTTTAACTTTAATCAAATATATACAAGAAAATATTAGTATTTATAGTACATAATTAGTATCATTAGATAGATTACTGAATGTATTTTTTCGTAATAAGCTTATTTGGATATACAAATGTTGTTAATATTTTCTACAAATCTAGTCAAACTTAAGAAAGTTTAACCGGCACGAATACCATAGCGACACTTATTTTAGGACAGAGGGACGAGTAGATTTCTAGATAAGGTAGGTTGGCTCAAAAACCATGTTTAGAGGTAGATTTTAATATAGCTGCCTCTACCCAAAAAGGTTGGCACCTCTAAAAATAGTTTATGCAGTACTGAACACATGTCCTTGCCATCAGCTTTTTCGATTCTCCAAACTCATTCCCCCAAAAGAGCCCTCATTCATCAGCCTTGTGTTAAGAATCCCAAAGACCTCCATAATCTTCTAGAAGGCACAGGATATCCCATTTGGTCATATGATATTTGAACTGTTCCCCTACACCCCTGCCCAAAAGTCTTAGCTCTAATACTATCAAACTATTGATGGGTGCCCACATATATCATGTATAGCCCCCATGGTATAAACAGATATGCTGCTTAATAAAGAGGTATTCGTCAGTATCAACCCGCCCCAAGAAGCTAGCCTTTTCCCTTTCCATGGCTAGTCTTTTTCTCAGCTTCTCAACGACACCTTGGAAGGTTGATAGGCCCAAATGTTTATCACTAATTGGAATCCCCAAGTACTACATTAGAAGCAGACCAACTTTGCAATTAAACATGTTAGCAATCTTTAATTGCTCATCTTCATTATTTGCCTCTAAACAAGCACTTCTGTTTTGCGATAATTTATTTTCAGTCTAGTCAATCATTCAAAACAATACAGACGAAATTTCATGTTGATAACAGATTTGCTCATCAAAGATAGATATATTTGACTTATAACAAAACTAATATGGCATGTAAAAAAACAGAGAGAGTGTATGTATATATTCCGATCCTATGAGCACTATATAGTACTCGCTCCGTTCCAATTATAAGTCGGCTTAGCTTTTCTAGATACATATAGCAAAACTTATATGTGTCTAGACATAGTGTACATCTAGCTACTAGCTAGATGCATAGCAAAAGCTATATATATATGGTACCTAGAAAAATCAAAACAGCTCATAATTTGGAACGAAGGGAGTAGAGTCAGGGCTGAGTAGAGTGTACATGTTATTGCAAATCTGAATCATCTCTGTAACTGTTAATGGCGCTTACATGTGCACCAGTAGTTCACGTATACGCACTGCTCCAAATTGTAGCAGTCATCCAATCGACGACGGTGTGAAGACCGAGGAGATGGATCAGACGCTATAGCTCCGAAGAGGTACTACTAGCTATGCGTACGTGATGATAGTGAAGATCACAGGCGGTTCAACTGTCGCTGTTCCAGAAGTGAACGAAGCCCCCCAGATCGATATGGATCTCATTACTACTCAGCTCAGCTGAGCTGGTGACTATCTAGATGGTAAAGGAGGTCCATCCTACTATCTCCAATCGATAACACATGCATGTAGTACAACGGGAGACAGGGAGTCAGAGAAAGGGCACCATGCATGAAATGAAATTAATCAGTGCATGTCCGGTACGTACGTACCGTGGAGCTCGCTCGAGCGAGCCAGTACTCCGGCCAGATGACTAGCTTGTTGGATCTCGGTTTCGTTCCAGCGCCTTCGTCCTAGCAGCTAGCTAATAATGGAGGGGAGCCTGCCGGCCGATCGATTGGAGCGACGTCCGCCCTGGCTCGGGCGGTGGCCTAGCTAGCTGGTACGCGCGCGCGCGAATTGAACCCTAGGTAGCTAGCCCGGCCATTGGGCGTGGTCCTCTCGTTCTCCCCCGGCCCGTCCCCGGCCGTGCGAGTGAGCACAGTGCCATGCACATACGCGCCAACAGTTGAGAGGGCGAAAGCGCGCGCCCGCAGACAGACGAGCACGAGTCAATCGAGATGAGAGATCGACCGAGTAACATAGCCCTAGCCTAGCTATCTAGGAGTACCAGCCTAATCCGGCGATCGACCAGCTGCAGAGCAGGAATGAGAGCGAGGCGCGCCGCGAGTTAAACAAACTTACTGCCTCCGTTCAAGAAAGAACGCAACTACCTCATTCATGATTAGTTTAAGACTAAGTTTATAGTAAATAGTATTAATATTTATGTCTCTAAATAATTTTATTATAAAAATATATCCTATAATAAATTCAATAATAATTATTTTGTATTATGAATATTAGTATTTTTTATATAAATTTTAGTTAAAATTTAAACTGTTTGACTTCTCTTGCATTTTTTTTTACCGAGGGAGTACTACGCCGTAGTATATCCTGGCCTAGGCACGCGCGCCCTGATGGATTCCCCTGCCGGCCTCGGCCTGGCACAGCCACAGCCAGCAGCCTCACGCTAGCTCACGCACCGAGCGCTAGCTTTGATTTTACTGCAAGCGTTTCCTGCGGCATCGTCAACTGTTGTGTTCAGGCAGCGGTTCAGTTTCCCGACAGGGACTGGCCAAAGGCCGAACCCCACCATGCGGCCGTCCAGTCCAGCGCGCCAGCGGCCCGCCCGCCCGCCCGCGCCCCATGATATAATATCATGGCGCAGCCCGCGCCTCCCTCGGCTCCTCCAGTGGGGAGCTGCCACATTCCTCCACCCGGATCACCTCGCGTGTCCGTCCGGCAGCTGCCTCCTGCCTTCCCCTCCCCGTTGGCTGCATCAGCTAGCTCCGATCCGATCCCATCCTGCTGGTTCTGGTTGGTTGCCGTGAGACCCTGACCTCCGTCCTGAGGCGCGGTACGTACGGTAGCCAGCAGCAGCAGGTGAGTTAGTTAGCCAGCCAGCCGCCTAGCTAGCCCCAGCTAGCGCCAATGGACAGGGGGATGGCGGACAGGCTCCTCGCCTCCTGCATACCGGGCGGCATGGAGGCGGCGGCGGTGGAAAGGGAGGACGAGGGGCTGGAGCTCAGCCTCTCGCTGCACCCGTCGCCGTCGTCGCCGCCCAGGTTCCAGGCGGTCTTCGCCTGCTGCTACTGCCCCAGGAAGTTCCGCAGCTCGCAGGCGCTCGGCGGCCACCAGAACGCGCACAAGCTGCAGCGCAACCTGGCAAGGCGAGGCCGGGAGGCCGCCTCCGCGCCACTCGCGCCGCTGCCGCCGCCGCCGCCTCCGGTAGCCGACCAGCAGGGCAGCAGCAGGGCGTCCGGCGGCAGCGAGAGCGCGCCGACGCCGCGCTCCAGGCCGGCGGAGCCCCCGGGCGCCGATGCGTGCACGTGGGGGAGGCGAGGCACCACCGCCGTCATCATCAGCACCACCTTTATCAGCGCCCCGCCCCGGCGGCGGCGGGGGGTGCGGAAGCCTCGTCCGGTGCATCAAGGGGCGGGGGAGAGGATGCGGCGGAGGAGATTATTGACCTGTCCCTCAAGCTCTGAACTGATCTCCATCCATCCATCCATGAGCTCGAGCTAGCTAGCGGCCGAGCACTGCTAACAGCAGCTCCTCCTATCCTCTTGCTTCGTTCTCTTCAATTAGCTTATTGCTTAGTCGTTTCTTCATCACGTCATTATTATTTCTTGTTTGATGATCTACCGTACGCGTGCTATTCCTTTTGCCTCAGCTTTGTGGACTCATATGCATGATTGAGATATTCTAGTGTTCAGTTCAGGGAGCACGTTGGGTGATCAGAAGCTTCTTCACACGTAACACTTGTAGTACTACTAGTGCTGATCGCTCTGTAAATAATGTTCTATCCTAGAATTGCTACCTTTGGACTTAGCTTTCCGCAGGTTTCAGGTAACTAACTAACTGCTTTTAGCTCGTTGCTTTAGGCCATGTTTGGAGGTATCCGATTCATCTCAATTCACATATGTTGTGGTGGATTGGGGTGGAATTTAGTTCAAGTTCCACTTCAATCCACCCAATTACATATAAATCGATGCAAATCCGACTACATACAAACGAGGTCTTAGAGATTTTTTGTTTATTATCTTCCGATCTCTGGCCGTCGTCTCTCCCGGCCAGTAGCTAGTCCTAGTTAGTCAATTTGTGCCATAAACCCGATGCCTAATGCTGTGCTGAGTTAAGAACGACTTAAGATAAACCCATGTTGCCGTGCTTTAGGATTATAGTTACTGAAAAAATACTATATAGACAAACACGTACTATCACATATACAGTCATACTAGCTGGATGTTCTTTTATTCCCTAATAAAAAATGCTTTTTTAAGAACGTATCCCTTCATAATGTGTGCTAGCTCTATGAGTTTATATGGAGTACTTGTTGGTCTATAGGATCACCGGTTCAGATGAGTGAACTACTCACCAGTCTTACTGAGCATCCGCTGGTGTTGTCGAGCACCCACTATTCGTGCCGACCACGAACAAGCGTTGTGCGTCTCCACATACTATGGCTAGAGCTAGAAGAAGAAGGGAGAACAGAGCATGCACACACAGTATAAGACACCAGCGTTGGTCGAAGCCCTGTCTGGGAGATGGCAAATCTGAACTCTCTTTACTGAGTTGCCGTGTATGTTATTTATACAACTCTATCCATCTAATTCTAGTACAGCGCACATGCTGTAACAGTAACTAGATAACATACAGGACTGACTCTACGCCGGCCACTGCATGTGCCTACAGTGCTGCAGGTGAGCCGTGCGACGCCTGCACCTGCAGCGGCTACAGTATCACAGCAGGGGGCCTTTCGGCGCCGCCTTCCCTTGTTGTGTTCACACAAGGTGGCAGTAGATTATCAAACAATCTTTCCCTAATCCTACTGCTAACCCTTGTACCCCCTCCAAACCGATCATCTCCTTCAGCTCTGTGAGTCGAAGACGTCTGAGCGGCTTGGTGAGGACGTCCACGAGTTGCCGACCAGTTTCGACGAACTCAATGATGATCTGCCCTCCATCGACACAGTCCCTGAGGAAGTGGAACTTCACGTCGATGTGTTTACGTGCAGAACCGGATTCTTCGCGAGGGCGATGGCGGGCTGGTTGTCCACCATCAGTGCTGGTGGGTGAGCTTCCACGCCGGTTAGCTCGCCCAGCAGCCGACGTAGCCACATAACTTGGCACGCCGCTGTGGCCGCCGCTACATACTCTGCCTCGCACGTAGATAGCGCCACCACTTTCTGTTTCAGCGACAACCATGAAATTGGGGCCGACCCGAGGAAGACGAGCACGCCAGAGGTACTCCATCGCCCGTCGATGTCCCCCACCATGTCTGCATCGCTGAACACAGTGAGCTGCAGCCTACTCGCACCGGTCTTGGGAAAGATGATCCCCTGATCCACCGCCCCTTTAACATAGCGCAGTAGCCGCTTCACCGCAGCCCAGTGATCCTCTCTGAGATCCTCCATGAAGCTGAAAGCTCTAGTTTGGTTTTGGTAAATTGATGAAACCCTAAGTGCTAACCTAGTTCATCAAGTGATCATGAGATAGGTAGCACACTTCAAGTAGAGAAGCAAATGAAGATCATAACATGACAATGGTGATAGCATGGAGATGATCAAGGGCTTAAACTTGAAGAGAAGAAAGAGAAAAACAAAAAGCTCAAGGCAAAGGTATAACTTATAGGAGCTATTTTATTTTGGTGATCAAGACACTTAGAGAGTGTGATCACATTTAGGTTTGATAGCCGTACTATTAAGAGGGGTGAAACTCGTATCGGATTGTGGTTATCAAAGTGCCACTAGATGCTCTAACTCATTGCATATGCATTTAGGATCTAGTGGAGTGCTAACACCCTTGATAATATTTGTGTAAATATGCTACCACATGTGCACAAGGTGTTTGTAGGGTTGAGATTCGGCGCTTTCGGGAAAATGAAATGTCTATTTTCTATTGCGCCGGATGCAAAATTCTTGGTGGTTGGCACACTTGAGCAAGGGTGAAGAAGTAAGAGTTGAAATGGAGTTGATCGAAATGATGCTGGCATCGGTCTCATCGACCGGACGCTGGAGTCACTCAAATGACCGGACGCTAAAAAAGGTCTGCGTCCGGTCGAATCACGAATCAACACGATGGCTAGAGTTGAGCACCGACGACGGTCGTCATGGCTCCGTCCGGTCAAAAAAACATGCCTCGGGAGCTTACTAGAAACGACCGGACGCCAGGCTTCAGCGTCCGGTCGATTCTGAGCGTCCGGTCAAACCAGAGCCATTGAAATCGACAAACAGCGTTTGAAGTCGGTGACGCGTGATGCCCATCGGGCGACCGACGACGAGGGCTGCGGTCCCGGTCAAGATGACCGAGCGTCTCGGTCGAGCGCGCGCTTTGCCCAAAGAAGGGGTATAACGGCTCTATTTGATTGGGGCTCTATTTATAGCCCCATGGCCGCTCAAGGGAGCCCTCTTGCACATTTTCATTGACATAGCAACCTTGTGAGCCTAGCTAAAGCCCTCCCACTCATCTACATCATTGATTCATCATCATAGTGAGATTGGAAGTGAATCCAAGTGCATTGCTTGAGTGATTGCATCTAGAGGCACTTGGTGATTGTGTTTCATCATGGATTTCGCTTGTTACTCTTGGTGGTTGCCGCCACCTAGACGGCTTGGAGCAACAAGGATCGTTGAGTGGAGGAGGTGATTGTCTCCGACTCCGATCGTGGTGATTGTGAGGGTTCTTGACCTTTCCCGGTGGAGCGCCAAAAGGTACTCTAGTAAATTGCTTGTGGCTTGTGTGATCCTCATCTTGTGTTGGTTGTGCGGCACCCTATTGAGGGTTTGGCGAGTGATGCCAATCAATAGCGTGAACCTCAAGTGAGTGAATCGCCACAACGAGGACTAGCTTGCTTAAAAGCAAGTGAACCTCGGTAAAAATCATTGTGTTCATCATTTAATTCCGAGGTGATTGGTCTACATTGGTATTCATCTTCGTGATTGATTGGTTCATTCATCTACACGGCGGTATAACCCTCTTGATCACTCTCTTTACTTTACCGCAAACTAGTTGACAAGCTCTTTAGTGTAGCTAGTTGTGAGAGCTTGCATGCTTGGTTGGTGTGGCTCTTTAGTTAGCCTTTGAGAGCACACTAACATAGGGTAGTGTCATTGCTCTTGTGTATTGACACTATCTAAACTAGAATTGTGGTAGGTGGCTTGCATTGTTGAGTAGGCTAGCGCAACATTCGCTTCGCCTCATAATTGTCTAACCATTTGGTTAAGTGTTGTTGTAGAAATTTTTATTAGGCTATTCACCCCCCCTCTAGCCATTAGGACCTTTCAGAAGCGACTGACGTAGCCCACGACGAACGCAATGTTTGGCCTCGTGTGGACTAGGTAGCGCAGACCATCGACGATGCTCCGGTAGAGTGTTGCATCCACCTTTGCCGCGGTGCTGGCCTTCATCAGCTTCAGTCGCTCCTCCATCGGAGTCACGCATGGCTTGCACTCAGCCATGCCGCTCCTCTCCAACAGCTTGGAAGCATACGCGCTCTGACCGAGCATGAGTTCCTCCTTCCCCTGTCTCACCTCGATGCCGAGGTAGTAGGAGAGAAGTCTTGAGATCGCTCATTCAAAATGAGCCGCCATCTCACGCTTGAAGTCTGTTGATGTCCTCACAGCGCCGGTGATGATTAAGTCATCCACATATACGCCGATGACGAGCTCCTCCTTCCTCCGTCGCCGTGTGTAGAGCGCGCTCTCGGTTGCGCACCGTTGAAACCCAAGCTCGCCCAGCGTGGCGTCAAGCTTGGCGTTCCATGCTCGAGGGGCCTCGCCGCGACCCGTGAGCGCTTATGTAGTCGGAGCACCCTGTGCTCCTCTCCATTGACGGCAAAACCTGGAGGTTGCCTGACGAAGACCGTTTCCGCCAGTTCACCATTGAGGAAGGCCGATTTAACGTCCAAGTGATGGACGCGCCAGTCCTTTGCTGCTGCCAAAGCTAGTAGCAAACGAACCGACTCCATGCGTGCTACTAGCGCAAAGACCTCCTCGAAGTTTATGCCCTCGCGCTGAACAAAGCCTTGGGCGACGAGATGCGCCTTGTGCTTGACAATGGCGCCGAGCTCGTCCCGCTTGACCTTATACACCCACTTTAGGCTAATCGGACGGCATCTTGGAGGTGGATTGATGAGCTGCCATGTCTCATTTTCCTCGATCACCTTCATCTCCTCCAACATCGCCCGTCGTCGGTTTTTGTCCCGCTCGGCTAGCGCGAAGTGGGTGGTTCCTCTGCACTGACTAGCAGCAGCTCTGCGTCATTGAGCAAAACCACTGTCTTGAGAGGGTCCTGTGCCACCGATGATGTTTGTCCACCATGAACCGCACCTCCTCACCTTCATGGAAGGCATCCACGAACTTCGGTGATGTCACTTGGAGGTGAGGCGAACTCGATCGGCGTTGATGGAGTTCCTGTTCCACCGAGTGCTTGTCACAAAGACACAGAGTGCTTGGCACTGCTGTTGCGATGCTTGGCACTACTTCTGGATAGCTCATCATAACTCCTACAGTGTTCGGCCACACTGTAGGAGTGCCTAGCCTCAGTCTTGGAGTGGTCGGCACCACTACAAGACGTCTTGGCTCCACCACGGGAGTGCTTGGCACCCGTCCTGGAGTGGTCACCACCACTGCAGAACCTCCCAGCACCACTCCTGGCGTGTTCGGCATCCCTCTAGGAGTGCTCGACACTCCTTTCGGAGAACTCGACATCCCTCCCGAAGTGCTCGACACTGCCCCAGGAGTGTTCGGCTCTATCGCTGGAGTGCTCGGCACCTCTTCTCCAGCGTCTCCACCACCGTGGATGACCAAGTGCTCGACGATGAAGGTGTTGGTGAAGCTGCCAGCTTCCCCCGTGCTCGGACTGCTCCAGTCCCAAGCCGCCTCCTCGTCGAACACTACGTCGCGCGAGACAAGCACCTTGTCTTTGCGTGGGTCGTAGAGCTGGTATGCCTTGGTACCCTCCGCGTAGCCTAGGAACACCATGGGTGTGCTCCTGTCCTCTAGCTTGGCGAGGTTTGTCTTCGTCTTCCTAACGTAGCCGATGCAGCCGAAGTAGGACATTCGCGTCTCGCTCAGCAGGAGTAGGACATTCCGTCGAAGAATGTCCAATAATACCACATGAGTAACAATAATTTGGTAATTTTTCATAGCGCACTTCATACCACTCCGTTGTTTTTCTTTTGGCCGAGAAAATTGATACACCCCTACGGAGTGGCTTTGTTATATTAATATTCACTTTTGCTCTAAGGTAAGCCCCCCAAGCACGATCTTGAGCATCCACATCAAGTTTTTCTACTGGTCCTATTTTGTTTGCTATCTCGTATCCCAACTTACCATTCATCAGTCCAAAAGGTAGATTATTAATTCTCACCCAAATTGACATATGATCGAAATGGACATCTGTTGGCCTCATAGAAGCATCAAAATCCTGAATTAAAACAGCTCTCTTACCAATAGTCCATGGCGAACCATCCAAAACTCTGTTCTTGTCCTGCTTTGAGCTAAACTCTGCTATAAACAGGTTATCCCCAACAGTTTTCAGCAGCAAACCCTTAGGATTTCCCCAAGCAGGTCTCAATGCTGCCATAATTGTTTGAATGTGCAAGACCCCATGTGATAATACCTTGCCAATAATAGCACAGTCTGATGTTGCCAGGCCTTCTTCAATATCATCCGCTACCTCAAGTGCGTCGCTTTCCTCCGCGGTGAGGTGCAAGCGGCTAATAAAGTCGGCCATCTTATCTTCTGGCAGTCAGTCACCAATCCCCTCGCCCAATGCATGCTCCGGCATCTCCAGGGGCAACTGATTCCTCACCATGGTTGCTCGATTGAAAGCTTTACAAGCTTCCAAATTGTGGACTCCCCTTCCCTTACCTCTAATCCCAAACAATCTCCAGATCCCCACCGCAAAACAGGCCAAGGGCGGGCAGTGAAGCAAAAGTTCACCCCTTAGTCGCCCCAAGCCCCAGCGGACAGGAAACAGGAGTGGGAGAGTAGAGGAAATTGGTCTCAGATTGGAGGAAGGAGCAAAGAAAGTGCGTTGCGAGAAGATCACGACCACACACAGGATCTCCCGGCCTCAATCGCGATCTCAAGGAAATGGATTTCGGTGGGGAGAAAAAATCGCCACTCTCTACTGTTCAAAAGAACTGTCGAGAAGGCCGTTGAACCTGCTTCGTAACGGTTGAAAGGAGTTGCTGCTGCTGCTGGCTGCCCGTGGCAGAAAAGTTGTGTGGTCAGAATATCCCACCCACAGCCGCCAGCCACCAGCTCCACTTCTCCCACTGACGCTGGGTCCCGCTGATCCTACCCCACCTGTCACTCAAATTTCCAGCCACCACAGCATATCCCGCCGCTTCCGTGGGCCACGCCCGTCAGCGACAGCGCACAGTAGCGACACCGCACAATAGAGAAACCGGTGGCCAAAGGTCGCGACACACGCACACCCACCCCACAGATCTCCCACCTCTCTCTCTCTGCCCTTGCTGTCACCGTCGCTCGCGCCTCGCCCAAGTCGTCGTCGCCCAGTCGCTGCGCCGCTCAGCTCCGACGCGAGCAGAACCACGTAAGCGCGCGCGTCTCCCTCCTCCGCCCGGTCCGCTCCGCGCTGCTCTGCACCGCGCCGCTGGACGCGTCGCTATTCAGTGCGGACTTCTGCGGCGGGGTAAACAGTTGGACTTGGTCCTTGCGCGCGATCGCGCTCCGGTGATGGATTTTCCTTGGTTTTATTTTTTAGGCGGGGGATGTTTTTTAATCCGGGTTCGTGGCGGTGTGCGCAGATCTGACTGGCGGCTCCGGGACGGGGGGAGGCGTGGAGGCGATGCAGAAGCAGGGGCGGCACCTGGAGCGGTCCAACTCGAAGCGAGCGCTCGACCATGGCGGCGGTGGTGACGACGGCGACCGCCCGTCAAAGCGCCCGCGCGTCCCCGCCCTCGCCAGGTGACTGCGTTGAACCCGTCTAAGTGACTCTGTTTGGGAAGAGTGTTTCGTCATTCGTGTTAGCTACCACCTGCTACCATGTATGTAGCCTCACTGAGGAAGAGCTGATTCGTGATACTGTGATCGTAAATGTTACACTTGAAAGTTAACTCAATCACTAATGGAGGTTTTAGTTTCGTGTGACAGAAGATGGAACAAGTCTGGGATTAATCACTTGAGCTGAAGAAATGCTTAAAATGAGGGGATATCAGCTCTATACTGTAGTTTCTTCCACATAGAATCTGTGCCTTCGTTTAGGATTGTGAAAGAGCGGAGAGCACTCCCCAGTCCCACACCCTTCCAGACATCGCCCTGTTCGCTTGAACTTATCAGCTTGGCTTATCAGCCATGGTACAGTATTTTTCTCTCACAACAAATCAGCGAACAGTACTTTTCAGCCTGGCTTTTCAGCAAAACGCGGTTCATTTTTCCTGTTTTCTGCATTTTTCCGTGAAGATGAACTGATTCCTGTTAAACTTGTGTACGATTACTGTGAAGTTCCTACGTTCCAAAGGGACCCTAAATGTACAATCAAACTATATCTGCATACACTGTAATGTATAGTTACTTTCTAATATAAAGTATACATGCACATGCACTTGAGGAGCACATAAACCATGTTCCTTTCTATTTAAAGTGGCATTTTACCATTACTAATTTGACGCTCATTTTGGAACCTCCGCCTTAATCCTCATCATATGCACTAGAAAAGAGATAAATTCAAGAAACGTCTATCCATAAAATCAGCATACTATAACAACCATTGACCCCGTATGAGTGAGGATCCTATTGGGGACCCCCCCCCTTATCATCTCTATAATACAATGAAACGCAGCTCTCCTGCGTTTTCAAAAAAAAAAACCATTGACAATAATAGACATTGTATCTATTCCGCTTTTCTAATAAAAATAATTAGCCATCTCCACAACTTTTAGAAATAGTCTAAAGTAATTTTCCTAAATTGATATATTTATATATGAATTACCACCTCTGCCATTTTGAAAAATAATCTAAAGTTACCCCCCCTAAATCTTCATTTAATTATCCACCTATGCCATTATAAAGAAATAAAGGGCGTACCCAGTGCAGAGAACTCCCGCTCTGTGAAATAACCTCCTAAATTTACATCTAAATTATCCACCTCTACCATTATTAAGACTGACTTAAACCAAGCCCTAAGCCTGCATCTAAATTAGCTGCCCATGCCATTACAAAAAAATCCCAAAGTATTCCTATATATGCTTCTAAATTACCCTTTCTTCTATTGTTAACATAAAAAAATCAAGGTATATATGCATGATGTGTGTCACCATTCAGGAAGTGATGGCCATGAGATCAATTTCCATGTCAAACACATATATAGCCAAAACTAAGGGTTCAAATAAATACATGTCAAACACACATGAAATCTTTTGAAATTACTATCCTGTGCAGGAGTTCTATGATTTAGCCAAATTCTAGAAATGGTGTCATTTTTTATTATATAAAGTTCTAATTGCCGAATGTTGTTCTTAAAAAGCATTTGCAGCTTTGCAGCGAGTCATTGAATATCCATTTCTACAGAACTATGTGAAAACAGTGAAATATGCCTCAACAAATATCTGTAAATCAAGACGAACAATTATTTCAGTTGTGTTGTGTGGTGAGAATCAAGTTCGTCCCTACCATGCCTTAATATATTTTCCTGATGGTTGCAGTGTCATTGTAGAAGCACTCAAGGTAGACAGTTTACAGAAGCTTTGCTCATCACTGGAGCCAATTCTGCATGAGTTGTGAGTTGAAGCCCTTGGACAACTTTTTTTAATATAACCATCTGATTGCTTTTCTTGTCATTAGCCAACCAACGTTTGCTGTGTAGGTCAGTGAAGAAGTAGAGCGTGCTTTAGCCAAATTGGGTCCTGCTAGGATCCAAGGAAGGTACAAAATCTGGAACTTGATCTTTATGGTTGTTTCTGTAGTTTTACCTGGATATGCTGCAATAAATTGTGAACTTCATATACCAAATAAAAACAGGAGCTCTCCCAAACGAATTGAAGGCCCTGATGGTAGAAACCTCCAGCTTCAGTTTAGGACTAGGTTATCCCTTCCACTCTTTACTGGAGGGAAAGTAGAAGGCGAGCAGGGAGCAGCAATTCATGTTGTGCTGCTTGATGCGAACACTGGACATGTTGTCACTTCAGGACCTGAGTCATCTGTGAAACTGGACATTCTGGTACTTGAGGGTGATTTTAATAAAGAGGAAGACGAGGTTGGACTGAAGAAGACTTTGAAAGTCACATTGTTAAAGAACGAGAAGGGAAGAGGCCTCTTTTAACTGGTGACCTGCAGATAACCCTTAAAGAAGGTGTTGGGACTATAGGAGAGCTTATTTTTACTGACAATTCCAGCTGGATAAGAAGCCGGAAATTTAGACTTGGGTTGAGAGTCTCCTCAGGGTTCTGTGAAGGAATTCGTGTTATGGAAGCAAAAACAGAGGCTTTTACTGTTAAAGATCACAGAGGCGAATGTATGTTTATTTACTGTGGTGTCATTATTAAATGATCTAACATATAGTTTTTAAACTTGAATATGTTACCTGACTCTTTTTAGTGTATAAGAAGCACTATCCTCCTGCACTAAAGGATGAGGTATGGAGATTAGAAAAGATTGGAAAGGATGGTTCATTCCACAAGAGATTAAACTCAAGTGGAATCTATACAGTTGAACACTTTCTTCAATTCCTTGTTAGAGACCAACAGAAATTAAGAAGTGTAAGTTTAGCATCTCTACTTTTAACTATGGTTCATCCACTCGGTAGTCTTGTGACCCATACTACTTTATTTCTTCTTTCTGGTTACCCTGCAGATTCTTGGCAGTAACATGTCAAATAGGATGTGGGAAAGTCTTATTGAGCACGCAAAGACATGTGTTTTGAGTGGCAACCATTATATATATTACTCAAGTGATGCAAGAAGTGTGGGTGCAATATTCAACAACATATATGAGTTCACTGGTTTGATTGCTGATGATCAATTCATTTCAGCTGAAAATCTCACTGAAAACCAGAGGGTTAGTGTCTTTTCAATGCCTTTTATAATGCTACTCTTGGAATCTCATAAATTCTCAGCACTCGGTAATCTATGGATTGAGATTATTCAGGCTATAAATTCATTTCTGATACGTAATTTTCACTGCATCCATAATCTGTATCACCCACTATAATTTCACTTTTCACAATCTGTGAAATTCTGTTGTCTGTCTTGCCTAGAGTGGTCTGCTATGCTCGTTTTTGACTTAGGCACAGCATTCATTAGAAACTTGTACACTTCTTCTTTAAGTTTGGCCATTGCCTAAATTAACTGCATTTAGGTGTTTATTACCAACAGGAAAGTAGGAAACAAGCAACGACAACCCCAAACATTTTAAATATCACAGTATAAGAACACATGCATATATTTGTTTATAAACCACCACCCATGCTTCTGATACAAGTTCCATGAATGATGTCTACAAATCCTTTAGAAATGTTATATATTTTTACAATTTATTAATGGTGTCATTGGAATACGCCTTTTTCATGACGGAAAATGCATTCAATTCCCATTCTAAAAGAAAATGCATTTGTTTTTACAAACCTCCATTTTAGATAGAAGATGTATGACCATCTCTTCTATTTATGATATATTTCTTGTTAATTAATATGCTGCTTGAGTTCGATATGTTGGCCTTAGTTTTATACTCCCCCTGTTCCAAATTATAAGACATTTTGGCTTTTTTAGATACGTTGCTTTTACTATGTATCTAAACATAATGTATATCTAAGTGCATAGCAAAACTATGTATCTAGAGAATTCAAAGCGTCTTATAATTTGGAATAGAGGGAGTAGGTGACATGACATACTATGGATGCTACAATATGAATCAGTTTTTTTTATCTCAATATGAATCAGTTTTAGTGTAGAGAAGGATGGTGGGGTGCTTGGGCTGTCCACCATTTTTGTTTGAGAAAACAATATATATATCTTTTTGCAGACGCTCTTAGTTAAAGCTGGCATGCAGCTGTGTGCTACATAAAAATGAAAGAAGATAGTATGTTTCTTTTACAGATTCTTTCAGTGATCTAATGATATATCAGGTGTCTTTTTTTTCATGTTGCCTTGAACTTTTAGTTTTATTTCCCCTGTTCACTTGCCTCAATTGCTATCCTTATAAGATGTAAAGCGTTTGACCCTTTGTATGATAATAAATTAAATATTAAATCATTTGTTGCAAAAGTCACAATCTCACTCTACCTGGTGACAGGTGTTTGCTGACACATTGGTTAAGCAAGCATATGATGATTGGATCAATGTTGTAGAATATGATGGCAAGGCGCTGTTGAGTTTCAAGCAGAAAAAGAAATCTGTTACAACTAGAAGTGAAACAGCGAAAGCTTCAGCAAGCTACCCTGCATCAAACGGTTTAGTGAACTCACAGAAACAACTGGCTGGAGGTCCTGTAAATGCTGAGCAATCTTCCCTGAACAATACCAGCGAAGGTATCTGGATTTGTTCTCATCCCGTATGTTTCTTGGGTACTCTTTTCTTTTAACCATTCCTGAGCTGCTATTAATTAATTTTGGAACAAAAAAATAATGAACTTCCCTTTTTTTGTATGCACTTTCTTACACTGTTTTGAACCTGTGGAGTTATATTGTTTATAGGACCCATTTTTGTAACAAAACATGGATTTTTTTTGTGTCTGACAAGTCGTTCTTGATTGATTTTAGCTTAATCCTTCAAAATCAATGCTAACTCTATTGTTACTTTGGTGAAAATTAACTACTCCCTCCATCCCAAATTGTAAGTCGTTCTGGCTATTCTAGATACATAACTTTTGCTACGCAGCTAGATATACATTATGTCTAGATACATAGTACTCCCTCTGTCCACAAAAGAATGCAATTATGAGAAGTGTGCTGGTCAAACTAGTCCAAGTTTGACCAAGTTTATTTTAAATAATATTAACATTTATGTCTCCAAATAAATTTATTATGAAAATATATTCTATAACGAATCTAATGGTACTTATTTTAAATCATGAATGTTAATAATTTTTTATACAAATTCAGTCAAAGTTCAAATAGCTTGACTTATCGAAAAACGAAAATTGCATTCTTTTGTGGATGGAGGGAGTAAAAGCTATGTATCTAGAAAAGCCAGAATGACTTACAATTTGGAATCGAGGGGTAGTTACCTGCTGACCATAATTCTGCATCTATATGCTCACTTAGCAGTTTCATTTTTCACTTAGTATTGTTTGCTAACTACTGCTAGCTTGAACTTATAAGCTTATTTTCTCTGTTCAGCAGGTGGAACTAGAATCCCATCCATGGGGAACCAGGTAGCAAGAGAATATGCAGGCAATCCTCAGCACATGGCACCAAGTATTACTATGCAATACGACATGAGTTCACTGGTCCCCGGAGGCCAGTTGAGTGGTTCCTCTGTGCAGACTCAAACTTCACGAAGCTCCAACATGCTTGCACTGCGGCCAATGCAGCAGCCTCAAAACTTTGAGTTCTCTGAGCTTGGTCAGTCCACACAACCTTCAGGGCTCAACCCTTTCGATGACTGGTCCCAATTGCAGGAGAACCGCGGAGGCGGCGTCGATGACTACTTGATGGATGAGATAAGGGCGAGGAGCCACGAGATATTGGAGAACGATGAGATGCAGCAGATGCTGCGCATCCTGAGCATGGGCGGGGCACCGACCGGCCTGAATAATGTTGACGGCTTCCCTTCATACCCGTCTCCTGCCCCAGCCTTCAGCTTCGAGGACAACCGTGCTCGCTCGTCGGGCAAAGCTGTTGTCGGGTGGCTGAAGATCAAGGCTGCGATGCGGTGGGGCATCTTTGTCAGGAGGAAAGCGGCCGAGAGACGAGCTCAACTTGTTGAGCTGGAAGACTAGCGGGGGTGCTTGGCCTCAGTGCCGCACATATTTATGCGGCGGGGCTAGTAGAACTGCAAAATGTTGTATGTATAATACGCTTCCCTTTTGGCTGCCCTTGCACAATAGCTCCATTGATATTGTATATTAATGGGTACATGGAAGGACGATCAGGATCCCATGAGCTCCTGAGCTTTTACGAATGAACTCACGTTGGTTGTATTAATCCCTGATGACGCTTGACCTTACCTGTGCTTTGAAATATTCTTGTCGGAGGATTCAGACTGACAGGAATGAAAGGGAAAGTTCAGAAGGTCGTTTGTTCTGTAGCAATTGAAAGGCAACGTTCAGAGTTTCGGGTGTCCATGAGTGCATCGGAAAATTCGGAATAGAGCTTTTTAGTGGATACTAGAGCTGTGCTTTGTACTCCTATATGATGGCGATGTCCACTAGCAGTTGTAGCACAGTAATTGTGGAACGGATCATTCGTGTTTCCCATGTGACTCACGTGGATCATGACTAAATCGAGGCTTCTGGAATGTGGTTGTGGCCTTGTGGGAAGGTAACATCAAGAAAGTTTGTTGTTCTTGTGTAACAAGCAGAGTGTAGGCCGTCAACTTTTTTTCGTTCAAAAAAGGACATCAGCTTTTCATACCTTAAGAAAGCTGCGACTTAATCCTTGTTGAGTAGAGGTACAATGAGCAGAGTAGAGGTACAATGAGCACCGCTACTAACGAGTATGCTTGGTTGCTTGCTATGTTTCGGGAGAAGGGTATGCTTTGCTATAGTCTAATTAGTTGACGTGTTGGTGAAGTGATAATATCTTGTTATATTAGCTTTATGTTTTCTGGCCAATATTTACGAAACCACCTGCTAGACACTGAAGCTCTACATGACTCTTGACCTAAGCACACAGTCCTTGGAGACACGAAGAGCCGAGCATGCATAGATACTATTTGTGTGGCTAAAATTAACCTTGGTGGATCTAAATATCCTAACTAACAATCCAACTAATAACTCAAATGAAAAACTCAGCTAATAAAAAGCAATTAACTGGGTTTTCTAAATTAAATATTACTCCCTCCATCCCAAATTACAAATCATTCCAACTTTCTTGACAGTCAAAGTATCTTAAGTTTGATCAAATTTATATAATAAAATAATAACATTTATAATACCAAATAAGTATCATTAGATTCTTCATTAATTATATTTTCATACTATACCCGATGTCATAAATATTTGTGACTCTTTCTATAATTTTGGTCAAACTTGAGATGCTTTGCCTCTCCAAGAAAATTAGAATAACTTAAAATTTGGAATGGATGGAGTACTAACTATTAGCTTAAGAATTTAAACAGACTCAGCTAATAGGTTCATAATTTTGCTAATAGAAAGCCATTAGTTGGTTTTTAATTTCCTGCTATCAACTAATATTCTAATTAATTGAATCGGTTCAATTCTTGTCCTCATATTGAAATGAATCGAGATTGATAAGGATGGTAATAGGTATCTTTATTACATTAACTAAAGCTTATTTATTTCACTTCATTTCTATTACAATAAGATGGACTTTACCCAAGATGACAATGGATCGGTTATTAAATCTTGGATGGAAATTTCTTTTACTTATTTCTCTGGTGAAAGATCCCTGTGTGGTTTTGGTAATTGAGTGACAACCTAGGTGGACTAATTGTGTTTATGTGAGATACACAGGTGATTGGTTGGTGCATGTATTGCATCAACATTGGAGGAGAAGGAATGTAATGCGCAAGGTAAAGGTATAACCTAGGGCATTTCATTTTACCGGTCATAGGTGTGTAGAGAAGTTTATGACCGGGTTTAGGATAGATGGCCGTACTATCAAGAGGGGCAAACTTGTTTGCATATCGGTCATCTAGTGCCACTCGAGTGATATAACTTTGCATCGTCGATAGGATCGAGTGGCGTGGCAAGTTGAGTGGCTTATCCTTTAGAAAATGTTTGTGAAAAGCTAACACACATACACATGGTGGAGTACACTTGGTGGTGTTGGCACATTTACAAAGGAGAAGAAGTTGGAGTTGATGTGGATCAACTCGGTAAAGAAAAGGGTTTGAAACTTCACTGGCGGAGTGTCCGCCTGTAGAGTGCGGACAGTCCGACGATGCCACCGGCGCCCTGTACAGAAAAGACAGGGTTTCACAAAGTGCACCCGACGCTGGTCACGCAATGACCGGACATTAGGATCCTGCGTTCGGTCAGTGACAGCAGTGAAGGCGCAGGCGTCGGTCTTCGACCGGACGCTGGGTGGGTGCGTCCGGTCCCACTGACGTGGTGGCACAGAGAAGAGGAGAAAGGACCGGACGCTGATGCTGCATCTGATCGTGACCGACCGTTGCGGTTGAGCAGCTCTAGGAGCTTACCGGAAGTGACCGGACGTTGGAGTCCTGTGTCCGATCGTGATCAAACTGACGCGTTCGGTCGTGAATGGAACTTCTCTAGAAACGACCGGACTCGGCAGAGGTGCGTCTGGCCTTGGCATTGTGCTGTGTCCGGTCATAACTTGACCGTTGAGATCAAGCGACTGAGGTTGAACGGAGGCGACATGTGGCGTGCATCCGTTGACCGAACGCTGGACTAGGTGCGTTCGGTCGATCTGACCGGAGCGTCCGGTCGCCCCGAGCAGCGCCCAGTAAAGGGGTACAACGGCTCTATTTTCGTGGGGGCTATAAATAGAAGTGTTGGTCGGCCTTTGACCGGTAGCTTGGAAAAAGCTGGGCACCTTGGGGACTTTGTGTCCATGCTTGAGAGTGCTTAGGAGCCCTCCATCTCACACATGCTTGATAGTAATCATCCGATTGTGTGAGTGAGCGATTCTAGTGCGATTGCATCGTGAGGTTGCATCGAGTGGCACTAGGTGATCGAGTTGCAAGCCGGTGGTGCTTGTTACTCTTGGAGGTTGCCACCTCCCAGACGGCTTGGTGGTGGTCTCCGTCGAAGCCCGTAAAAAGCTTGTGCGGTGCTCTGGAGAAGAGTTTTGTGAGAGGCATTGTGCTCGCCCCGCGGGAGCCGCGAAGAGCAACTCTAGTTGAGCGTTTCATTGAGCTACCCTCACGTGCGGGTTTGGTGGGTGATACCAATTAGCCGCCGAACCACCAAGTGAGCGGTCGACACAACAGGGACATAGCGTGTTGGCAAGCACGTGAACCTCGGGAGAAAATCACCGTGTCAACATTGTTCTTTCCGTTGGTTTGCAATCCCCTTACACAAGCTTGTAATTATTTTTATATACATTGTGCTTGTGTAGCTGCTCTTGTAATTAGTTAGCTTGTGTAGGTTACTAGTTACCTTCTTGCTTGTGTAGCATAGAAGTAGCTCCTTTGCGTGGCTAATTTGGTTTATGTAACCTTGTTAGTCATATTGCTTAGTTTGTGTAGCTAAGTATTTGCGCTCTCTAATTTGGCATTGGTTGCCTTGTTATTGAACATTGCTAGTGAGCTTAGTTGGCTTTGTGCTTTTGCTTACTAGCATGTGTAGGAGCTCCCCGATGTGCAAAATACTAGTGGCATAGGTTTGTATGTCCTTGCTCCTAGCATTGGATAGGTGAGCTCTAGCTAGCCCGGCACCTTTGTTGCCTAACTAGGATTTTTATAAGGTGCTTATGAACTTTGATAGAGGGGTGTAGTCTTGGCTAGACCGAATTGTTTTAATTCCGCATTTGTTTCGGTTAGCCGACGCGATTAAATTTAGAAACGACTATTCAACCCCCCTCTAGTCACCATCTCGACCTTACATCTGGGCAATCTCTTATTAACAACTTCTTTCCAACTAGTTTCACTCAGTGACAGTAAGAATATTTTCAACACAAAAGTTCTCTCAAACAAGAGAAAGAAACATGCCTTTTCATATATAGATTTAGAATATGTTCCCTATGCTAACTGGGTTCATTAGTTATGGTCAACAAACAATATGCGCCGCAAGATATATTGGTCAAGGTTTCATAATCACCTCATCCCACACAAATCTTTTACCTATAACGATTCACTACCCTTATGAAAAATCAATTATATCAGAGCATTTCTGGGGGCGAATATACTTTGAATTTCATAAATGCATTGCTTGTGAGGTATGTGTTCGCGAATAAATAGCAATATGTAGGGGTGGAGGTAGCAACTACAGTGTGTTGTAGCACCTGTTCATCCTCAACAATCCTCGTTAACCACGCTCTGCTAAGTCATAGCCTAAAATCGTGGCTTAGCCAAAGTCGAGCACCAATGTTGTCTGGCTAGCACATCACTTATCATCCTACCTTATCTAAATGTGGCTTCACCACTCGCGGTCTAAATCCAAATAAGCCCTTAGCTTCGATGTATGAAGTGAACGTGCATTAGTTAAAGTACACTTGACACCCAACGTTAATGATTCATCTATATATTTTGCATCAATCCCCATGTCTTAGAATAGAGACATCTCTTCTTATCAAAGCAGGAGACTTTGGCAGCCAACCAGGCCGTCCACGCCGCCCTGAATTCCTTTCGCCATCCGATCTCGCTTTGAAGGTCCAGATCGCTTGAAGCGGATTCTCGCTGCACCGCTTCTCCTTCTTCTCGATTAGCTTCTCTCGCTTCTCCTTTGCTTCTTCCGCTTCTCCTCGAATCTAGTCAACCAAATATATATAGCAACTTTCGCTTCTCCTTCTTGATTCTTCTTCTCACCCCTCCTCTCTCTCTCTCTGTTCGCTCTCTCTCCTCTTTTTCCCGACACGGACCCAGGCGGACGGCCATGGCACGCACGGCGGCGCGTGGCGGTGGCGGTCGTGCTCCTCCTCCTCCGTGTCGTCCCCCCCTCCTCTCTCCCTCCATCTCCTGCCTCTCACCTCTTTCTCTTTCCCTTCCTCTCTCTCCCCTTCCCTCCCGATCGGCAGCGGGGCGGCGTGGCCCGGCTCCCCACGCCAAGCGTCGGCCGGCCCAAGCGACGCCACTCCTTCCCCCACACTTACGTGTTGCTTTCATAGTTGTTTTGTCTTCATCGAATTCTTT